GATAATAAATAAAAATTGTGAACCTTTATTGTAATTAAAATATGGTGCAACGACAAAAATTATGGTATAAATATGACTATCCTAACTTTTATTATTATTAACTACGTAATGTCAATTAGCCAAAATACATCGTAAAGATTCTTTTTTAAAAGAAGGTCAGAGTTTGACAAGGCTTATTTATTAGATAAAAGTCCCTTTTAATTATAGCAAACTCGAGATTACAGTCTCCTTACACTTGCTTTTGTTGGAACCTAGAAATAGAATGCGAAAGGTTTCCGTTTTGGGAAAAATAATAATTTATTATGATTGTGATGATTTAAGAAAATATTTTAAAAAGAAAGTAATTATTTTAGTTCTGAAAAAGGTAATTTTGTCTTGGTTTACCCTTTTCTAAGTAATTGTTATTGAATTAATTGTTGGACAATACAAGAGAAATGTTTACAAGCAACTTACAGGTGCTGCACTGTATGGTGACTTTTTTGTGTCTTTTGCCATCGATCAATGAAAAATGGCCAAGTGGAATTTGGTAAAAAAATCTATGAAACTTTACCTGTCCACTTGGCATCATTCTTAATTGTTTGCATCCTTAAAAGTTCGACCACAATACGTGTAAAAAGCCGATTGACAAAGTGACATGGCATACATTAAAAAAAAAAAAAAACTTAGATTTTGAAAGCCAACGTTCTCTCTCCATTTCCCCGTCCCCCCACCCATTTCCCCAAGTTCAAGGTGAAACCAAAACCCTAATTCTTAAATCGCAAACCTCCGGCAGCAACTGAAGTCCGGCGTCACCCCCATCTCCGACAGCCGGTGAACACACAGCAGCGTGATTTCGCCCGCTCTGCGCCGTATTTTGTTGAGTTCAGTAGCACCTGAAATTGATCAACTCGTATCAAACACCACTCATATGTAAGATTGTTCAATTTAAACTAGGATGTCATTTTTCCTTCTAATCATTTTCTTATCTGGGTGGAAATCGATTTTCTTGTCTTGTTGGGTGGAACTGAATATGTATTTAAGGATGGGTGGAAAACGATTTTCTTGTCTTGTTGGGTGGAAATTGTCTCTGTTTCTGATCCTTCCAGCTTATTTGTATGACTTCGTAAAATTTATATCATCTCCTCCTCGGAATCGACGGACAAAACCTCTTCCATGTTTGGCCGATCCTGCAACATATAAACACTCACCCATTATTTAGGTGTTCAAAATGCCCAACCTTCATTCAAAATTTAGGCTCGAATAATTTTCATTGAGTTTTGTTCTTTTTAATTTCCCTATTTCAGTTGCAAAGTAAAATATTGAGCAATCATTGGTTTAAAACGTCTGATAAAACTTCATAACAAAAATTCAAGAATTGGGTTTAAAACTTTTCCCTATTTCAGCTCTACCAATCATTTTCCCCAATTCTGTTTTACATCCATTAAGCAACTCTAATTCCCAGTGAACATCAACAGGTAAAATCCTACTTCATCCCTATTTCAGCTCTACCAATCCGAAACTTAATAATTCTGTTTTACATCCATTAAACAACTCTAATTCGCAGTGAACATCAACAGGTAACATTACAGGTAAAATCCTTGGGGAGAAACACGTAACATAATATTCTTAAACATTTTCCCAACATCAGTCACTAAAAAGGCATTTTACTGAAACAGAGACAATTCTACAAAGGAGAAAGGGCCCTTGTGACATCAACCTTAGCTTACAATTGCAATATCCTGTTATGGAACCTTTGAGAGAACATTTAATCTGCCATCCAACTCTGCTCAACAATTTCACGCACCTTCCTATTGTATTCACATTTGTTCTCGCTAAACAACCGTGCAGCTTCAGAATTGGAGAAGATGAAGAATATGCCGCTATGACCCAGTTTCGGAGAAGATGAAGAAGTAGATGCTGAAACACCGTCCAATTTCTGCCTCTCCTCCTTTTCTCTCATCTTCTTCATGGTAAAATTAAGGCTGTATATTATTAAATGGATACGAAAATAGTTGTGATAATACTGAATGACTAAACAAGAATAATTCAAAACTTCAAATCTCATTTATCTTTGTTTAAATGATTTATAACTACTCTCAAATAGTGGAAATTGCATTGCCAAATGAAAACAGTGAAAAGTCTATCTCCACTCTATAGTCATTTCAAGTTCAATCACGACAAAGAATTCTAAGATCCGACCCAAAGAAAAAGCTAGCAGGCAAGGCTTCCGTGAGCTATAGTGCTGAAAGAAGTAGTACTAAACGAAGTAATCAATGTAAAATAATCATATACTTTGATTAGATCAATGAACATGAATAGAAAAATTCTTAGTTGAATTTAGTTACGTTCTTGTAATGCATGAGA